GTAAAACTTCTACCTGATGATGTCAATCTTGTTTTTTGGGTCTTTTACTTGTAATTTGCTGATTCTTTTTGTCAATTTGTAGCAGGGGGTGGATGCATGGTTTGGCAGTCATCCACCAACGAAGACACTGCCTTTCCATGGTGATATGACGAAGGGACGCCTTTGTCACGTACCTGCCAATTTTCAGAAATGGGAAGAGGCTCAACCCAAGAACCTCCATGTCGTCTATTTGAACAATTCAATTTTTCTGCACTGTTGTCGCAATCTGGAATTACTTTCGATCAATTTCGATTGGTTCAGCTGCATCAGAACCTTCCTCAGAGCAAGGACGTAGAAAGCATACTTCGCACTGAAGTTCACGTTGGGTCAACCAATTTTCCTGTCAGGTTTTATTGGATTGTTTTTTGCACGTGAGATGCATTCCACAACAGAAATTCGCAATGATGTTTCTGAGCAAGTGTGTGTGAACAAGCTGTGTGTAAGTTGTGTGTGAACAAGCTGTCTGTGAGTAAGTTGTGTGTGGACAGTTGTGTGTGAGTAAGTTGTGTTTGAGCAAGCTGTGTTTGAACAAGTTGTTTGTGGACAAGTTGGGTGTGAGGGAGGCGGCGGGAGGAGGAGGAGGCAGGCGGGAGTGCACAACCAAAAACAAGAACCCCACACAAAGATGTGTGGAAAAACCTAGCTCATGTCGCCTGCGTGAACTTAGTTTGGTGATGTTTGTTGTGACTGTCGCTTTGGCTTCCGCTCTTGCTGGCAACTGAAACTAAGGCTTTGCCTGTTACTGCCGATGCGAGTGAGGACAGCCAGAGGGGCAGAATCTGAACATTCAATATCTTGCTGTCACTGGAGCTCGGATATGCCAAAATCAGCATTCCTTGGCTCGAGCGGCAAGTTTCTCACGTGAACCATCCCAAACTGAACTCTTTATTTCAACAAGATTGCAACAAATCTCAAAAAATGCAAGACCCTTGCTCTGCACCCTGTAGGTGCGCGGTTGTCCATTTTTGTGGACCCGTATCAAGTGGCAAACATCTCCTGGACGTGCTCTTGTAATATATTCCTCTACAACTGTTTTCTGGAAGTCTTTTGTGATACCTTGCGCAAGTCATCACGCTTCTTGAATGCTTCTTTGGCAAAGCTCTTGTAGAACCCACTTACCAGTAGTTTATTAGAGCGGTGAACGGTGCAATGCTTCTAGAAGATTTAACCTAGCGTGTCGAATGTTAGCTTTGCTTACTGATGTCATGCCTTTCAGTGAAACATGTTGAAACAATACAGTAGCATGCTTGTTCCAACAAAAGCATGTCATTGTTTTCTTACATAGGCACTGGCGACCTCATAGAACGCAACAAGCTTGCCTAACACTCCCCAACATGCGCGTGAAACACTCTTGTGGGGCGCACTTTGGGTTGTGCAGTGGGCCCTGCGGTGGGCTCGCTTTCTGGCTAGGCTTTTGGCGAGCCGTGGATTCCGGCTTGCTTTGTCAAAAGAAGCTTGGATGAGAAACTTCCATGTTATGGACTTTCAAAATCACAGAAGGAGATGTCAGAAAAGCAAGATGTCATAGGAAAAGATGTCACATGAGATGTCAGAAAAGAGAAATGTCATAGGCAGGAGATGTCAGAAAAGAGCGGTGTCATGGGAAAGAGATGTCACATGAGATGTCAGAAAAGAGAAATGTCATAGGCAGGAGATGTCAGAAAAGAGCGGTGTCATAGGAAAGAGATGTCACATGAGATGTCAGAAAAGAGAAATGTCATAGGCAGGAGATGTCAGAAAAGAGCGGTGTCATAGGAAAGAGATGTCACATGAGATGTCAGAAAAGAGAAATGTCATAGGCAGGAGATGTCAGAAAAGAGCGGTGTCATAGGAAAGAGATGTCACATGAGATGTCAGAAAAGAGAAATGTCATAGGCAGGAGATGTCAGAAAAGAGCGGTGTCATGGGAAAGAGATGTCACATGAGATGTCAGAAAAGAGAAATGTCATAGGCAGGAGATGTCAGAAAAGAGCGGTGTCATAGGAAAGAGATGTCACATGAGATGTCAGAAAAGAGAAATGTCATAGGCAGGAGATGTCAGAAAAGAGCGGTGTCATGGGAAAGAGGTGTCAGAAAAGCAAGGTGTCATAGGAATGAGATGACACGGGAAAAAGACGGAGAGAGGGAGAGAGAGAGATCTCATAGAAAAGAGATTCCACTGGAAGGAGATGGAGAAATGCCATAGAAAAGAGATGCTGCAGGAAAGAGATGTCAGAAAAGAGAAATGTCATAGGCAGGAGATGTCAGAAAAGAGCGGTGTCATAGGAAAAGATGTCACATGAGATGTCAGAAAAGAGAAATGTCACAGGCAGGAGATGTCAGAAAAGAGCGGTGTCATAGGAAAGAGATGTCACATGAGATGTCAGAAAAGAGAAATGTCATAGGCAGGAGATGTCAGAAAAGAGCGGTGTCATGGAAAAGAGGTGTCAGAAAAGCAAGGTGTCATAGGAATGAGATGACACGGGAAAAAGACGTCGGAAGAGAGAGATGTCATAGAAAAGAGATGCCGCAGGAAAAACATGTCAGAAGAGAGAAATGTCATAGGAAAGAAATGCCACAGGAAAGGCATGTCAGAAAAGAGAAATGCCATAGGCAGGAGATGTCAGAAGATAAATGTCATAGGAAAGAATGTCAAAAATGTGACAAGATAGAAATAGAAATTTCATTTCTTTTGTCACATCTTCAGCTTGGAGTTCTTGAAGGATGTCTCGCTTGAGAGCTTCGCTTTCACATTTTCAACTTGCAGATTGTGAAAGAGGTTTCGCACGAAAACGAATGATCTTGCAGATTTTGAAAAAATCGCATGAACAAAACGTTTTCACTACTTGCAGTTGCAGGTTTTGCAGGATGTCCGCACGAAAACTTCATTTTCAGAACCTCAAAACTTGCAGGTTTTGAAGGTTGTCTCGCACAAACACTTCGTTTCGCACAAAAACGACGTTTTCACGACTTGAAATTGCAGGTTTTGAAGGATGTCTTGTACGAAAACTAGGTTTTCAGAACTCCAACTTGCAGCTTTAGAGGATGTTTTCCGCAAAAACGTTCTTTTCACAACCTCAGCTTGCAGATTTTGAAGGGAATTTCGCACGAAAACGTTGTTTTCACGATTTGTGAAGTTGTACGAAATCTGTACGAACGCTTCGTTTTCACAATTTGACCTTGGAGTGTGTGAAGAAAGTCTCGCATGAAAGCGTCGGTTTCATATCTGCAACTTGCAGGTTTTGAAGGAGGTCTTGCGCGAAAATTTCGTTTTTACAACTTCAACTTGCAGGTTTTGAAAAAATGCACGGAAACTTGGTTTGAGAAGAGCTGAGATGAGCTGAGACGAGCTGACATGAACTGAGAAGAATTGAGAAAAATTGAGAAAAATTAGAAGAACCGAGACGAACTGAGAAGAGCTGAGATAAACTCAGAAGAATTGGAATGAACCGAGATGAGGTGAGAAAAGTTGCGAAGAGCCAAGATGAGCTGAGACGAGTGAGATGATTTGAGAAGAGGTGAGAAGAGCTGAGACGAGATGAGCTGAAGAAACTGAGGCGGAGAAAGAAAAATCAGACGAAATGAGATGAGATGAGACGAAATGAAATCCGATGAGATGATGAGATGAGAAAAGATGCGAACAGATGAGCTGAATTGAGAAGAAACCAGATGAGAAGAGATCGGAAGGAACTCTCGAGAAAAGAAATCAAAAAAATCAGATGACGGAGATGTCAAGAGATGGTTCCTGCAATGCGCGCGGAGTTGCTTTGCATTCTATAGGCCGATAAGCACGTTCTGCTTCTTTGCCATATAGTTCCCCAAACAGTGTAGCTGCACTGAGGGGTTCTTAGGTAACAGTTATGGCCCGGTGTTCAATCGAGGTGGTAGCCGGCGCGTCCGGCATTTTCCCTGTAAATTTCCGCACAAAACGGCTCTTGTTAGCAACTTCCTTGGTGCAGCTGCCGGGGCATCGCGCACTGTCCCTGCTGCCTTGCTCTGCTATTGACTCCCGTGAAACCGCTTCCGCACCAAAAAATGCACTCAATGCAGCTGAGACTGTTTCGGGTGGTAAGAGTTATGAAATTTTTGCTGCGCAACTGACATTCTCTTTCTTAACATATCACCAGCTGTGTGCACACTTTTCTTTCTCCTGTTCCCATTCTTCTTCGATTCCTCAAGGCACACTGTTTGGGGTCTCTTGCCGGGATAATTGTTAATTTTGAAACTTCCACCCCCCCCGCTTGCCCGGATACTACTTGTATTATGTTCGTGTCTCTAATTTTGTGCGATTCATCAAAATTAATCTGGCATTTGTGTGCTACTTGAACCTCGTTTTTTGAAAAGCCCCGCGCCAGCTTGCTGGTACTAGATCTAGTTTTTTCAACGAAAGATGCCAGCGTCAAAGATCCTTAGAGCAAAGTGTTGTCGCAGATTCAGCATCTGTGTGTAATATAAGGCGCTACCTGAATAGGACATGAACTCCATGTTTCACTTTCTTTTCCTGCGCAGAAAAGTTTTGATGCTAATTTCTAATTTTCTGAATTGTGGTTTGCTCGCTCAGTGCCTCACTCAGTAGCTACCTCGCTCGACAACCAAATTCTGGGAGCAGAGTAAGTGCTGTGCAAGTGCAGAACTCGCGCAAAGGGCGGTTTGTTGCGAACACAAAAAACGATGTTCGATCATGCCGTGGAATTGTTTGAAACCGTTGCCAAGCCTTGGGCTTTGATGCAGTTTGGTCATGGTTGAACAAGCGAAATTGACAATCGAGGTGTGTGGTCTACACACCAATCATTGACCTAAAGCACTATGACTATCACAATCATCAGATTTATTCGAACAGACAAGAGCAAGTAAGATCAGAACGAGAGGCAGAGAAGAGGCAGGAAACAAGGAATGAAGAACGGTTGCATTTCCTAATCCATGACAGACATGTAGTAGTTAACATGAGCCATCGGTGTCAGGATGCCGAGAAGGTCAGATACATGCGGGTTGTCCTCAGAGTCCAGCGTCACTGGCGAGTGGTGACAGCCAGAAAGCGCTTTGCAAACCAGGTTGCTTGCCACGCATTTGGCAGAGTTTTCTGGGACTTGGCCAGAGCGGTGTCCTCATTGCGTGCACACACACTGCACTCACAATGGCATTGAATTGTCCAAACTAGATCAAACTAAAGACTAGATCGTATGCAACGCAAGTGAGGCTAGTCCCGCAAGGTTTGCGTCGCAGCATGTTGTGCTATATGGTGCCATTGTTTGATTGTGTATGTTTGTTTTGGTGATCCCTTGATATCACGTAAGATGCATTTGAACTAAGGCGGCGGTCTCCTACACTGGCTCTACTGCCAACAAACAGACCTTCTTGCTACATTGGCAGGTCAAGCATCGTGGGGTTTCCGCGGTTTCAAGAGTTGAGAGTTGAGGTGAGGCTAAATTCTTACGGGCGTTTGCCCGAGGATTTTTTTATCTGACCTTGGCACATGAATTTGGGTTTGATCCATTTTTTTTGGGAAATTTCAGGCCAAGTACATCATTGCCAATAACTTGCCGGCCAACGATTCACACTGGGACTCAGACGATCCTGGATGGTTGGGCAAAGCGTCCATGTCGAAACGTCATCGTTTTTTGATTCGAAGAAATCTTCACTGGCGCTGGTTCAACGCTTTAGTTTTCGGCCACTCAGTTCAAGGAGCCTGGGGGACCAGCCTCAAAGGTTCGAACAACGCTTTATCAGACTGGACAGAGGATGACAGAGGTAGAGTCGGTAGAGTTCAATATTCAAAACAGATTTCCCTTCCGCTCAGCAGCTGAGTAGGCAATCAAGTGTGTTTTGGGGTAGCCGGTGTGGTCTTTGTGTTGCTGTGCTCTGTTTGACCAATTCCAGAATTTTCGATAGATTTTGACTCTGGCTCCAAGAACTTTTGACAGGTCCGCATGTTTCTTTCGTTCCAACCTTCCTCATTTCAGGCGTTCAGCCTTCAAAGGTTTCAAGTTCCAGTTTTCAAACCCAAAAGGGGAGGCACGGCAGACCAAGAACGGCAGACACATGATGTTGCCCTTGTTTAGATAGGTTGTTTCCAGCGTTTGTGTGCGAACATTGAGGTATGCTGGATGACAACGAGATGGTCTATCCGGAGTGCCATTGCTGCCCTGATGCCTTGTCCGAAATCAGGATGATGAAGGCGATGAGCTCGGACGTTGAAGAAATTCCTCTGAATTGGTTACAATATAAAGCAGGAATGAACTGAATGAACAACATGAAAGAGAGTATAGACTCTTTGGTATTTTCATTGCAGAAAGATGACAGCACCTTGAGAGTGTCTCAATGTGTCTCACGTGCTTTCAAATCTGTGACAGGAAGCAGCATTGACCTGGGTCAAGGGTGTTCGAGAAGTGGAAGGATGGTCTGAGAACGTGGGGCTTTTCTTTCACGTCTACGGTCACAATAGTCCGGGACCTACGGAACTTGATATGTTTGTCCAGTCCCTGATTTCATGCACATCATCCCCCAGCTCTTTTGTAGCTCAAACAGTCTTGTGTTGGGACCCTCAGCTGAGTCCCCCTATGGTGGCGCCCCGCTCTCAAGTAGTCTCTTCATTTGTGTCCCACTCACCCAACTTTGGTGATGCTGTCCGGCTCTCCATGAATCTTCTTTGATTGCTTCAAATTGCCTTGGATTCTGCTTATTTGCAACTGGTTCATGGTTGGCCGATTGTTTCCTGTGATGCCACGGCCGCCAGTGGTGGTTGCCTTGGTGAAAACCATTGGTGCCGATCATTGGTGGCAATTGGTGATGCCGTGGTCTCCAGATTGTTTGCTTTGCCTTCCGTCATGGTCACTGGCGCTGCCTAGCTCTCTTTCGTTTGCCTTGCATGGGTAATCTGTCATTCAAGCTGTCCCTGTGGCTTTTTCTTCCATCAGGCGTCTGCAAGCTCGATTTTCTTGCTTCGCTTTATCATCACCCCCCTTCATGGCGCCTTGCAGTTATTTGGATTACATATTTCTCAACACAGTACAAACCTCAAATGCCTTTCCAATGCGTTTCTTGTGGTCTGATGGTGTTTGCGTGTTGTTTTCACCCAATTCCACGAAACATGGAATACATTCCGTTTGGAGCATACGTGGGTGTAATTCCAGCATGTTTTTTGTCGCTTAGCATGGTCCAGGCACCCAGGCACAGCTAGGTCGATGGGGATTGATTTGCTTTGCGCAACAACAAAAACCGAAGACAAAAAAAGCAATGAAAAGACATTCCTGTGACATCCTGTTACCTTTAAACCATTCAAACCTCCCCAAGAGTTCAACAGCTCCACTTGCACTTTGGCAGGGCATGGTACTCGCTTGTGCACCTGAGAATCGTCTCGCTTGTGCACCTAAAAACTTCCACTTCTACCTCTACTTGCACCTCTCTTTCTATTTCCACATCTACTTTCAGCTCTATTCCTACTTGTCCTTCTACTTATTTTTCCACATCTATTTCTACTTCTCCTTCTACTTCCACTTCTACTTCTACTTCCACTTCTACATCTACTTTCACCTTTATTTCTTCTTCCACTTGTACTTTCAGCTCTACTTCTACTTCTACAACTACATCTATTTCTACTTCTCCTTCTACTTGTACTTACAATTCCACTTCTACTCCTACATCTACTTCTACTTCCACTTCTACTTCTACTTGTACTCCTACATCTACTTCTACTTCTACTTACATTCCCACTTCTACTCTTACATCTACTTCTACTTACATTCCCACTTCTACTCTTACATCTACTTCTACTTCCACTTCTACTTCTACTTCTACTCCAACATTTACTTCTACTTCTACTTCTACTACTGCTTCTTCTTCTACTTCTACTTCTACTTCTCTTTCCACTTCCACTTCCACTTCTACTTCTACTTCTACTACTGCTTCGACTTCTACTTCTACTTCTACTTCTACTTCTATTCCTACTTGTGCATTCTACTTCTACTTCTACATCTATTTCTACTTCTCCTTCTACTTCTACTTTCACCTTTATTTCTACTTCCACTTCTACTTTCAGCTCTACTTCTACTTCTACATATATTTCTACTTTTCCTTTACTTCTTCACCCACTTCTACTCCTAAACCCTAAAGGTTTCGTGGCTCTTCTTGCATCAAGTGCAACAAAATATAAACCCTAAAGGTGTCGTGGCTCTTATTACATGAAGTGCAACAAGATATAAACCCTAAAGGTGTCGTGGCTCTTCTTACATCAAGTGCAACAAGATATACACCCTAAAGGTGTCGTGGCTCTCCTTACATTAAGTGCAACCAGATATAAACCCTAAAGGTGTCGTGGCTCTTCTTACATCAATTGCAACAAGATAAAAACCCTAAAGGTGTCGTGGCTCTTCTTGCATCAAGCGCAACAAGATAGAAACCCTAAAGGTGTCGTGGCTCTCCTTACATTAAGTGCAACAAGATAGAAACCCTAAAGGTGTCGTGGCTCTTCCTACATCAAGTGCAACGACTTATAATC